CTATTTTGCAAAGCTGGCTTTAGGTGATCTCCATGTGGGCTGTAGCAACGAAGGAGGGCGATCGGTCGAGCAACGACAATACCTGATAAGAGACACACCCTCTTCGGGCTCACCCTCCGCGACCAAACATGAAATGAATGGGAGACATATAACTCCCCGTTTCCATGCCGCGCTGGAGGGGGTTACGCACTACAGACGGCAAATGGACACGACATTAAGAGTGACATATTTAACGGCATAGCGTGTTTCCTGCCTGGTCGTGATTCTTCCAATTCCCTTGTCTGCCCAGCGAGAATACTCCACATTTCCTGTCGCCAGCTTCCCATGCGGACCCCCAAAAAACATCCCCGGTAAACCGTCACCAGCACACAATTAACTGTTTTCGCCCCTTACCTGGACATAATTGTTCTCACAGTACTCCGCGACCCTGGTGAGGTTTTGGTAACTCTCCACCAGGGCTCGCTTCCCGGCTGGAATTTCTTCGTCTAACAACATTTGTAGCTCTGCCATCTTACATCCCTCAGCATCGCTCCTCAGTCCTCACATCGATTGAGACCGCAAGCTCTGCCCCCGAAAAAGGAGCTCCGCCGCACAGTATTGTGGGATTTGGAACCTCGTTGTCAGGACGACTCTTGACCTCACAAGACGCAAACCCAAGAATTGCATCACGGGATATGTAGTCTTTTAAAAGTCTAGGCCCAGAGACGCTCGGTCTTTGGTCTTCCGCAACCAACGGAGTGTTTTGGTGCGCAAATGTCTACATTTACTGCAATATTTGTCACGTATATCTAATTCAGTATGCCAGAAAGTTTTAGAACGTGGAGTGAATTCTGATTTCTACTATTTTATCTACTAGGAAACACATGTTAAGGTCATAATTGGATGGTTTAAAGACTTACGTCCCAAGTACTACAGCTCCCAAAATGCCCCGCCTTCTATGAAGCATTATGGGCATTGAAGTGATTCTGTTCGGTAAAGCCGTAGCAAAATAAACGCGTCTTCACAAATGTTTAAACTACAGTTCCCTGAGCATACAGGAAGAATCGCAGTTCGTGTCGTTTATGTTTTGGGACGTATTTGAGAGGTCACCGTACTTACAGCAGGTAGATTATTAAATTGTTATGTAGGGTACAAGTACAAGTAAATACTCTGGTGCAGGTTGTTTTAGCTTTGTATTCACTTAAACCAGTTAAGTGTGATTTTGTATTGGTGTCTTATATGTAAGGTGATTGTTGGATATATTGGTACGACGAAGTGAAAGACTATTCTATTGACAGCTTATGTTATTATGCGTTTTTGCAATAGGAAATGTTCGACATTTACACCTTCTGGAAACTTTGTCGATCGCTCCATGTCCGTGATAACTGCGTGTGTCCATACCTGTGAAGATCGTATTCCTTTTGTGTTTCGTGGACGCTTACGTCCGCTGAGCGCTGCATTCAATTGACAGACGTTATTTATAATCTCCAGGTCCAAAGATTTGCTGCTGACACTTTGCATTTGTGTCATAATGGCGGATGACAAGCCGATTCAGGAACGGAGGTTTAACGCCGCGGTTAAAGTGATTCAGAGTTTACCTCCAAACGGTAAATTATCAACAGTGCAAATTTCACGTATGCTTATGCCTTCACTTGTTATTGTTTTGCGTGTTTTCGCGAAAATTAATTGGATGCATTGACTGAACGCCGTATACTTGGGTCCATTTAGAAATTAGAAATGAGATCTATAATAAATGTTATATAATTAGCTGCAATATGAGTGGCGTGTTTTCCACCGAATTAGCTGCAATGATTAGCCGCTACTCTGAAATAAGCACCTGGCGTTGTCCCTAGTTGTTGATACCAGAAACAACTGACTTTGTTGACAAAGAAAGAAATATTTAATCAAAATTAACGTGTTACGAAAGCGCAGTGTTTTGCCATGCTCTGAATGAGTTTATAATTCGATTATTAGATCCAGTAATTTTTCCAGGAAAGCCAGTTGAGGAGACATGTTGAATAGGCTGTCCGCATCATTTTCTGCTTCTCCTCTGTGGTTCATGCCCATCACAGGCTCCTTCCAGCCTTCCAATGAGATGATGCTGAAGTTCTACAGTTACTACAAGCAGGCCACCCGAGGCCCATGTGATATTCCCAGGCCAGGCTTCTGGGACCCTGTTGGCAAAGTCAAATGGTAAAATATTAGAATGGGGGATATTGTATGCTTAAACTATTTGTCCAGTAAGTTTATTATTTAAGCTTAAATAATAAGCACCTTCTTACCCCAAATACTCCAGTGCCGTTCATCACAGTGTAGTTGTTGACTACTGCGTTTATTTTGTTATTGTCTGTCTAGTTTAAAATATGGAACTGGAAATTTCTAGCATGTATTTCAACAATATATTGGGAAACCATATGTAATGAATTCAAATTTATGAATTCTTAGAAGCTGTGGGAAAAGCGGTATCAATTGTAAAGGAAAAAAACTGACTAATATCATTATATGGACCGAACAAGAGTGCAGCTGGAGTCTTTGTTAATAAATTTCACAAAAGGCTGAGGTCCTTTTTCACCTACTGGTGAGCACACATGGATCCCTCCTTTTGCTTTAGGGTGAGAGACCTGCCTTCGAGGAGTGCTATGGAGTGTCATTACGGTTCAGAATGTTACATTCGGAACTTGCCAAAACTGCCAAATGTGACAAAGGTCACAGTTGCCGCAGTACTGCTGTCAGGGACATGGTGGTGCTGTGGCTGTCGTTGTGTTCTGCTGCTGTTTTGAATGAATTGCTTTTGGAAGCTACCTTGTTTGATTATTGTTTATCCATTTGGTAGCTGTACAGGGAAATTATTTGGTTTATGTGTATGTAGAGTGGGTGGAGTTTCTTTATTAACCATTTAGCAACACAGTGACACATTTGACACATGGCAAAACAGGGAATGGCCATGTGGCTCAGGGGGTTAGGCCTCTGTATTTGTAATTAGAAGATCGCTGGTTCAGATCAGCAAAATAGTCACATGATGGGCAGTGGAGAAGGCTGTTTAAGCCCCCCCCCCCCAAAATGCTTCAGGGGTGCCGGATAAAAGGCTGACCCAATTCTCGGATCCCAAGCTTTGTATATACGTGTGTGTGTGTGTGTGTGAATGTCTCCAACACTGGAATGCTTGTTTTTGCATATCTTGCTCTCCTTTTTGAAAACACGATGGGTTATGCAAAAACAAGCATTCCAATGTGCCTGTACTCATAGTTGTGCAGATGTGGAATATAGCTTCAGTTAATTTAACACATGGCCATTCCATGCCCACAGGGACGCATGGAATTCTCTAGGAGAAATGCCAAGGGAGGAGGCAATGGTGGCGTATGTGGACGAGCTGAAGCTAGTAAGTGTTCAAAGGTGGCTACCTGTTGTTGTTGTTGTGTGTTGTTGTCATCATGTGCTGGAATCCACTCCGAGCGTCAACCACACAGATCTTGGAGAGCATGCCGGTCACCAACGAGGTAGAGGAACTGCTGCAGGTCCTGGGACCATTCTACGAGATTGTAGATGAGAAAAAGAAGATCAGCCAGGTGTCTGACCTGACCACAGGTATGGGCGCCGAACATGTACCTCTTCTGGGGGCTATTCCACAAAGTAGAATTTCCCAGTTATCTGGATAACTTAAGCCAAACCTGAAAATTGTCAAATAGGAAGATGGGTAAGTGGCATTCCTATTGGGCAATCCTTACATTTGGCTCAAGTTATCTGGCTAATGAAGAAGTGGAATACCCCCCTGTGCTACTGCTCTGTGTTAATGTCGGCTTGACAGCCCTGTGTAACCAGACAAAAAAATTTAAGTGTAAATGTATCCTGAGAATGGAGTCCATCGTCATACCGGTAACATGATCCGATCGCCTCTCGGCTAGCTTACATTTAACTTTGAAAGTAATAGTACAGAGTTCTTTTATAAGATGTCTAGGAATTATTCATAGATGCCAGAAACTGGATAATGACAATGTTGCAGTGTGCACGCTGTGCAGAAGGGTTTAAACAAATACTAGGTATAAAGGAGTTAAAATGTTTTAATGCTGTTTGGTTTGGTTTATTCTCTTCTGTATTTTCTGCTTCTTTATCAGGGTTATTATTGTTAATGGAAAAATTTAAAAAATTAAAACTAGGTACATAAAAAGATTTTTATAAGCTGAAGTAAGATATAAAGAATATATAAGTAACATCAAATATATATCCATTTTTCGGACATCAGTACATATATTCATATATGATTCTCTGAAGATTACGTCAACAGTGGTACCTCAGAACTCCTAAAAAGTTCAAGTTGTGATCGAATTTTCCCCATAAGAAATAATGGAAAACCAATTAATTGGTTCCCGGCTCCAAAAAATTACACCTAAATATGTTTTTTATTTTTTTGTTCTTTTTTAACATTTAAACACAAAATGAACCGGATAAAACAAGAAGAGCATATACTGTACTAAACACATCTAAGCACATTTATCAAAACAGTAATTTGTAAAGTAAGAAAATAAATGTATCCAAGCAATGTGTCCTGCCCCAATCATCCACTCCTTCCGTGTGCCACGCCCCCTTGTTAACCCCGTGTGGAATCCCCGTGTGATCAGCTGTTTCTGGTTGTTGTCATTAGTCCTCTGTATTTCGTCCGCGTTTCAGTTTGTTTCCCCAGTCCGGTCATTGTATTGTCCGTCTGCGTTTTGCCTGCCTTACCTGTAATTAAACCCTGTATTCCCTGATACCCTGACGTCTGCGCCTTTGTCTCCATTCCGTCCCGCTGGGCACGACAATATTATTATAATTAAAACTATTAATGGTTTATTATTAATATTAAAATAATGAATAAGAAATCTTTATTTTAAAATGTATTTTATTATATAATAATAATAATTACTGTTACTGTCTATCATTGTCTAAATGTATTTTTACTGTCTAAATATATGTATTAAGCTAGTGTAAACATGCACGATGCTATCACAGCGAATGCGAGGCTGAGACTGAAGCTTTACCCTTTGTTTCCGCTGAGAGATGTGCCGCGTGACTCATTTCCCTGCGCGTACAAGTTATCTTAGGTCGGCGTTCACGGTTTGACTTCTGAGATTCAGATCGAGCTCTAGGTAATTTTTTTTTTCAAACTGGTTGGTTCGACTTTTAAGAAATTTGAGTTCTAATGAGTTTGAGAACTGAGGTACCACTCTATATATGTAATTTAAAAAATGTTTTTCAAATGAAAATTGAAAATAATGCTGCTCTGTATTATTTTTTTTCCGTTTAATTTTGTTCAGCACGATTGGAACAATTTGCTAGGTCACTGGAAGGCAAGTGTGTTTCTTTGTGAAATCCTCAGTGCTGCTTCTAGCTTTTCTACAGCTTAGAAGAGACTATTCCGGCGCTTTTCCACTGGCATACAGAAACTGACGTGTACCTGAGACAAACTGCAAAGAGAGACTAGTTCCAGTGCGGTTCCAGCTCACTTCGATCCAGCTCGATAAAAGCGTTGCCGGGTTTGGAGTGACAGTGATATAAAACCAAAGAGATGCTCATTTATTGTTCACATGGTGTACATCATGATTTACTATGTGCATTTATGTATTTTTTACTGTGTGCTAA